GAGGGTATAAGAAAACAAATATTGGAGAGGGAGACTATAGTTTTTATTAACCATGAGACTTCTTTTAAGTGCCATATTTGTGATCCCTTGATAGGTGATTATGGAGGTTGTGGTTGAGACTGTGTAACTGAAATTCTTTTGTTCTGGAATTGAAGCAGAATCTCCCTCTGAAAATCTGGGATTATTTAATCTTGTAGCATAGCAAAATTTGTCTTAAAATTTAAGATTATTGAGGTGGAGAGAGAGCCTGGATGGAAGCTTTAGTGGAATTTATTTTTTTTTCACTCAAATACTAAGTCTGTTTTCTCTTTGGAATCAGTTAATGTTTCTGTATTAAACTCTCCTTAAAAATGCTAAAAGAAGTTAAAAATGTAATAGTAATGACAGGGGGGTTTTGCCTCCTGTAAGCAGTTAGAGCACAGAGAGTGCAGTCTCTTGCTAGATACCAGCCTTTTGTTTAGCATCCCTGAAAGCAGACAGTGATGGAAAGAAGGGTTTTTGAAGCCAAATTTTTAAATAAGTTAAAAGTATTTCTCTTTCACACAGTGGATACAGAATGCTAAGTGAAACATGATTTCTGTGAGTGACGGACAAAACGAGTAATCTGTCTATGAAATTTTTTTGCAAAGCAGTTAATCATTTTACCTTCCTAAGAAAAAGTAAATTCTACTGTCACCAGGAAAATAATGAAAGGTACTTTGAAATCAGGTTCATAAGGAGTACAGTGATCTAGAAACTTAACAGATCTCCAAGTAAATTCTGAGATAGAACCCACTTAAATGTTGATATTTCTTATTTTGTACTTTTAATTTTTTTACTTGTTTGTTTAAATGTTTACAGACGGAGACATGCAGTCCACAACAGTGACTCCACATCCTCTTCCTCGTCTGATGATGAAGAGCATTTTGAGAGGCGTAGGAGTCACGGCCATAACAGAGAGTTAAGAAGGTTAATGAAGTTACAGAATCACAGAATGTTAAGGGTTGGAAGGGACCTCTGGAGATCAGAGTCTAACACCCCTGCCAGAGCAGGACCACCACAGAATCCAGGGCCCGTCACTCAGAAATACGTGCAGATATTTATATCCATTAATAAGATCCCCTCTCAGTCTTCTCTAGACTAAACAGCCCCAGGTCTCTCAGCCTTTCCTCATAAGACAGGTGTTCCAGTCCCTTAATCATCCTTGTAGCCTCCATTGGACTCTCAAGTAAGTCCTGGTCCCTCTTGAACTGGGGGACCCAGAACTGGACACAGTATTCCAGGTGGGGTGTCACTAGGGCAGAGTAGAGGGGCAGTAGAAGCTCCCTTGACATGCTGGAAACGCTCCTCTTAATGCACCCCAAGATACCATTTGCCTTCTTGGCCACAAGGGCACATTGCTGTTCCATGGATAACTTGTCCACCAGGACTCCAGGGTCATTCTCCATGGAGCTCCCTTCTAACAGGTCACCCCTAGCAGGTCACATGCACCTACTAGTGCATGTTGTTCTTCCTCCCCAGCTGCAGAACTCTAAACTCATTGTTGTTGAACCTGATTAGGTTCCTCTTTGCCCAGCTCTCCAGTCTGGCCAAATCTTGCTGAATGGCTGCACAGCCTTCAGGGGAATCAGCCAATCCTCCCAAACTCACTGAGAACACACTTTGAACCCTCGTCCATGTTGTTGATGAAAATGATGAACAGGACTGGGCCCAGCATAGATCCCTGGGGGACTCCACTAGTTACAGGTCTCCAGCTGGACTCTGCACCATTGATCACCACCCTCTGGACTCTATTGTTTAGCTAGTTCTTAATCCATCTCACTGTCCACTCTTCTACCCCATACTTCCTCAACTTGCTCACAAGGTTGTTAATGGGAGGCTGTCAAAAGCCTCGCTACAGTCAAGGTAGACTTATATCCACCTGCATCTACCCACTCAGTCTCAACATTGTAGAAGGCTATCATATTAGTCAAGCATGATTTCCCCCTCTTAAATCCATGCTGGTTACTCCTGATAACCTTCTCTTCCACATGCTTAGAGGTGACCTCCAGAATGAGCTGCTCCATGATTGGTGAACAGGGAGAGCAAACTGGGGAGGGAGGAATCTGCTTGTGAGGAGTTGGTATCTGCCTAACTCTGAAGTTTTATCCTCTTAATCTTCTATAGTTTCTAAATCGTGGCAATATTTAATCCCATCTGTTGGTACTGACTGTAACTGGACTCTCTAAACCTGGATTTTTATCATTGATTTTTAATTGGCAATTTGCTTTCCAGGCAGGAATGGAGGGAGGAACACTTCCATGTAATTTTTAAATCTAAAATTCTGCTTCTCCTGTGCTTTACAGTTGCAGAAGGAAAAGCACCATAACAGCAAATGTTATAAATAGAGGAAATGCTGGAGGTTTTGTTTCTTAACAAATGCTCTATTTTAATGGCGATGTCAAAAGAAGGCGTTGAGCCCAATCTTTCAGAAGTGTGTCTTCTGGCACATGCGTCCCAAAGTCCCTGGGAAGGACTGGTTGTGGTGGGCAGCCTTTATCATGTTAATCCACACTGAAATAAGGATCCCCTTGGGCTTTAAGTTTTTGAATGTAGAAGCAAAACATCTTTGCACGATGTCAGTGTGTTTTGAGGGGTTTTTCCATTGCACAAATCAAGGTCAATTCACAGTCTCTACACACAGAGTAGCTTGTTCTGAGCTCACATTTCAGTATGTGCAGTGGTGACTGGCATGGATATTCCTAAGTGCTAGGAGTTGCTAAAATAATTAACTCAGTTGAATGTCCAGAGTGACCATTTTCCGTTCTGTACTCATGGGTATTAAATATAAAACCATTTTGAGGAATCTTGAACTATTGAGGAAGTATATTTTCATTTCTAAGGTCTTCTGTGTTTACTTGCTATCAGTATAAAAGCAAAAATCTTCTAGTTTCATCTTAAGTTAGAAAGCACCTTTCTCTTTCTCCTTCATTCAAATCAGCTATCTTCCACTAAACTGCCGGAAAGATGAGTTAAAGGGAATTCACAAGGATCGAATGAAAATTGGAGGGAGTCTGGCTGATGTTGATCCACTGCGAACAGATTCTTCAGTAAGTATTTTAGTTCATGATGTCAGGGTGCTGTTCCCAGTGTTTACAAGAGCCTTCAGTAACACCCTGTCTGTAGCTACCTTCCTTGGCTTTGCATTTTCTCTCAAGCAATTTGAAAAGTGTTCAGAACAATTCCTTTGTGCTGACGTGGAATTTCTGATGGAACCTTATCTAGGTTGCAGCTTTCTTTAACATAAAATGTGTTCTGTTGAATTTATTTTTAGGTGTGTTTTGATGGTGTGGGTGGCCTTTCTGACCACATTTCAGCTTTAAAAGAGATGGTCCTTTTTCCATTGCTTTACCCAGAAGTCTTTGAGAGACTCAAAATTCAACCTCCAAGGTAACAGACACTGTTTAAAATCATAAATTCTAATTCACCCATTGATGGTCAAAAGTAGGGTTTTTTTGTGGAAGTCCAGTTGTCTCTCCCACTGACTACCCAAGGAGACCTCATCCAGTAACTGAAAGCTTTGTAAGGGAGAACGAAATGCTTTACTATCAAATTGTGCTTTTTGTGAAAATAAGAGTGGCCATGCAGAGTGTCACTGAAGAGTGACCTGGTGCTTCCTGTTAGCCCAGTCTCAGGTTCTGCACTGAAGTTTGTTCTTGTTTGGCTCCACTGTGCTGTAACCAACCCTGTTAGTTTGTTAACAGTTTTGGAAGTCTCCTTCTGGGACACCACACTCTTTTCTCCATGTTTGGTACGTCTGCATTATCCTCTTCATTCATTTCATTTGCTGCCTTGCTGAATTGTGTAGAGACACAAAACTTGTATGTTTTGACTTTTCTCACATACCAGCTGTTACCACTGTCTTACACATCAAGTGTGTAAGAGATTAGTGTGTTTTAGGGATGGCAATAGGTACTTTTCCATGATGTTTTCTTTCTCAGGTGAACCTTTTTTGTTTTGTTAATTGCAGAGGCTGTCTATTCTGTGGTCCACCAGGGACTGGAAAGACACTGGTTGCTCGTGCACTCGCAAATGAATGTAGCCAAGGAGATAAGAGAATAGCATTTTTTATGAGGAAAGGTGCTGAATGCCTGAGTAAATGGGTGGGGGAATCTGAACGACAGCTTCGTTTGTTATTTGATCAGGTAAGGTTGAAATTTGCCCTGTGTTCTGACTTGTAACTCTCATTTGCTGTGGCCAGTATTTTTAAGGAGAACTCACTCTTTTTTGTCCTTTGTCAGTTCCTTCCACTGAAATGGGATTGTCAGTGTTTCCTTTTTCAGTGGGCTTTTTAAGGGCTTGAAATCTCAAGATGTGTTGGAAAAGATCAATAAAGCAAATGGGAAAACCTCACAAAACAACTTCCCTCACCTCAAAAAAGACTCAAAACCCACAAAAAAGGTTGCAAGAGGCACAAGATGGTGGCTTTAGATGAGAGGGAAACAGATGCAGACTGAAAGCATGGTAATTTAAGTTCATAACAGTACTGTTGCTTCCAGAACCTGTAATTAAATTAAGTCCCAGGCTCAGTTCTCAGAAGTTGCCAAATAGCTGTAAAAACTACTAGTAGGATTTGTCTCCTGTCACCCAGTAACAGTGGGATGGCATAAGACTGCTGCCTTCTCTTAACCATGCCACTGACTCCATTAGCTCCATTAGTAGAGATCCCTGATGCTAATCTGAAAAATCCAGTTTCAGTTTTTCGTGCCTTTTTAAAATAGTGCTGGTTTTACTTCTGTCTTTTCATTCCAGGCCTACCAGATGCGCCCTTCAATTATTTTCTTTGATGAGATAGATGGTCTTGCTCCTGTGCGGTCCAGTAAACAAGACCAAGTCCATAGGTAGTACAACTTTTTGTATCTATGTAGAAGCTGTTTGATCTTTGTGAATAGAAGACCACAACCTACTGACCTTTATGTGACACATGAATTTCTCATGAAAACTAGGAATTCAGTGCAGCTAAATTGCAGTTTAATTTTAACAATGATGGAAAACAGTTGACTAAGCTTGATATCAGCACAATGACTGTGTTGCCTTATCTATTTTTTTGTCTTAAAAGCAGTTGCTAATCAGCATCTTATCAGTAAAACCGTGTCCTTTTTGAGTGATCGTTGGAGAAGGTGGTGTAGAACATAACAAAATTTACTGAGCCAGTGAATGAATTCTTTTTGTCCTGTTAGTTCTATTGTATCAACACTTCTGGCACTTATGGATGGCTTAGACAGCAGAGGAGAGATCGTGGTAATTGGAGCCACTAACAGACTGGACTCCATAGATCCTGCTTTACGAAGACCTGGACGCTTTGATCGAGAGTTCCTCTTCAGCTTGCCAAATAAAGAGGTCAGTTTAAACTAAGCCTTAACGGTGATGTGGCAAAGTCCATCTTTATAACAACACCACGTAGCAAGGCAGTCTCAGAGAGCAGTGAAAGTCAAAATCAGTATTGCACAACTTGGACCAAGAGGAATCTCTGGAGAGACTGCGCTGTATTGTGGCGGGCAGATCTGGTTCTGAATTTATATGGTTAAGATGACTGCAACAAATAGTTAGTTCTAGAATTAGTTTTGGTTTCACTGTGCCCAGCCAAGAAAATGGGATGCTGCTAGTCCCTGAAATGTTTAAGGAAGAACGAGGATCTGAATTAGCAAGATATTCCCGCTCTCTCATCTCGAAAATGACAGAAATGGCATGCACACAAGAATGCCTTTTGGCTAAAAAAAACAACAACCACTTTTATCAAGGCTGGTGCTGGAGCACAGAACAACTTTTCATTCCCCAGGCAGTTTGTGTCTGCTTACCTCTGAAATGCTGAATTGTTCCCAGGCTGGGTATCCTCAGAGATACCTCTAAAGTATTTTGGGATCTGATATTCTAACTGGTATAAACATGGACATGGACAAAGATGTGAAATACACTACACAGGTGTAGGGCTTGGGAAGCTCCTAGTTCAATGGCCTTAGGTAAACAATGGAAAAACAAGTCTATAACAACCAAAAAACACTGGTGGGGAAGATCATGTGCAAAACTTGAACCCTTCTGCGTTTTTTCTCTGGCTATCACTAATATTTCTTTTTCTTGTATTAGCACTTTTTGGAAAAAGGATGCAATGCTTATTGGTTTAACAGCTAGTGAAAGTGCACTGACCAGTGTATTTAAAACAAATATGTCTCAATTTTTAATCTGCTTTCAGGAATAGGAGAGGAGGTTCCATGAAACAGATCTAATACATGATTCTCTACTGTGGAAGGATTCTAGAAATCTGCCTGTGTACCAGGAAAGATGAGGAAATGCAGCATTTGACTTTTTGTCAACCAGTGGCAGTCATTTACAAGGGCTTGTAATGAGAGGACAAGGGATAATGGATCAAAACTAGAAAAGGGGAGATTTAGGTTAGACATTAGGAAGAAATTCTTTAGCGTGAGGGTAGTGAGACACTGGCACAGGTTTGTCTGGAGAAGCTATGGCTGCCCATTCATGGAAGTGTTCAAGGACAGCTTGGATGGGGTTTTGAACAACCTGATTCAGTGGGAGGTGATTCTATAATCATTACTGTTCTTCTGTGTAGTAATTTTAGCAACTGGAATCACAGTGCTAGGCTTTTTATTCCTTGAATGAACTGGCAAAAGAGCAGATCTGATGAACTAATGAGACTGTCACCGTGAAATTTTGCTACATTTAAGGGAATTTTCTTTGTTTGCACGTAATTATTTTTACTACTTTTTTTTTTCCTCAGGATAATTAGGTCTCATCCTTGTAGAAACTTATTTTTTATGGGAGCTATAAATGCCTTTGATTTCCCTGCGGGCCCCCAGAGAGTTGAGTGTAACAAGTTGTGAATTATTAAGTTTCCTACTTGAAAAAAGTGGAAAGCATATTAATTGAAGTTTAGAAATATGTAAAAGTTTAGCAGATAAGAAATGTATATGTATTGATGTGAGGGTTCTGGGGAGTTTGTGTTGTGGTTTTGTGGGCCTTTTTAAAGAGAAAACTTAGGGCAAACTAACATGCAACCATTTTGTTTCCAGGCTAGAAAAGAGATCTTCAAGATCCACACAAAGGACTGGACCCCTAAGCCTCTGGACATGTTTCTTGAAGAGCTAGCTGAAAAGTGTGTTGGTGAGTTTGAAAAAAAAAGTGAGTGACTGCATGAGACTGAGTCCTAAGGAATCTGAGCTTGAACCAGGCAGTACTCAAGTTCTCGTGCCTTGCTGCAGAGTGAGGCACTGAGGCAGCTGGCACACCTTGGGAACAAACCAAGTTAGATGCTTCTTTTCTTTGAATTTGCTTTTAGTTTCTGAGAACATTGAGGGGGGCTTGGGCACACTGCTTAGGAGCACAGTTTTGATTAGAAGGCTGTTTCCTAAGCACAGGATGTCAGGCTGCAAGCCAGACAACAAAACTCTGCAGTGCAGTAACTAAATTCTCTCTTCACCTTTAGATTTTGGCTGCATAGCAAGTGGTTCAGTGTTGCACTTTGCAAACCCTGACCTTGATTTTTGTGTTGCCTGAGACTGACATAATGTTTGATTTTTGTTTTGCTTTTAGGATACTGCGGTGCTGATATTAAATCCTTATGTGCTGAAGCTGCCCTCTGTGCTTTGCGCCGCCGCTATCCTCAGATATACCAAAGCAGCAAGAAGCTGGTGTTAGATACTGCTTCTATTAAAATCACAGCAGAGGATTTTGCCATGGCTATGCAGAAGACTGTTCCAGCTTCACAAAGGGCTGTGGCTTCACCAGGGCGAGCACTCTCAGCTAGTTCAAAACCACTGTTTGAAAATACACTAGCCAGAATTTTACAGGCCTTGCAAAGAGTATTTCCCCATGCAGAGCTTGCACTAAAGAAGGACCAGCAGCAAGGTTGGTATAACAACATGCACTTCTTTCAAAGTCTTCTAAAGCAAAAACTTCCAATTTGTGCCATCAACATAGAGCTCTCAGCCCTTAATGACAGTAGAATTTTATAACATTCACGTGCACACCTTTATTTCAGGAATATCATGCATAGTTTTTTATTCTGGACTCTCAACAGAGGTGCTGGATGGGAGCTGTGCATGACTTGTAATACACACTAGAGAACTGAGAACTATGTGTCCTCTACTAGAGCACCCTCTTTCTGACAGTAGCTAAGATCATATTTATCATTTGTGGTGATGGATCTGAGGTTTAATGGATGAGGCACCTCCTTCCAAATAAAGATTTCAAGGGTATTTTTATATGAATGCTTCTAATTCCTGTCTGAAGAATGTCAGGAGCACAGTAAGAGGTTTAAGCTGAAGACTGTTTAGCTATCATGATTTTTAACCCTAGTCTTTTAACTGAAATGATTGTGCATCCTCCTGTACTGTTGCATGTGAGATCAGAATGTTTTAGTAGGGGCTTGGCTTGCATAGCCCATTTGAGCTCCCACTCCTGACTGCACCAGCCCTGATCAGGTTGATTCTGTCAGTTGGTGAGAGCAAATAAACTGATAAACTCACTCCACTGCTGATTAATGGAGACACATGAATAGTTAGTTGTGGTGCTAAACCCTGGAGAATATCCTACTGGTATTAATTCTAGTAGAAATGGTAGATTTGCACTGGTAAGAGGTAGAAACCTCCCAACACAACAAAAGCAGAGAGCCTAGGGGGTTGGTAATTGCATCCCTTCTCAGTTGTCCACCTTCTAGTATGTCCTCATTCAGAGGTCTTTGAGGAGCCTTGCTTAGAAGATGTGTTGGTCTGTGTGTTTTGACTCACTAGTCCTAGACAAATGGAAGTCTGTGGCCATCACATTCACTTAATTCACACTGACTTGAAGTGGGGGAACCTGCTCCAGAAAAAAGCGGCTTTGTTTTGGTTTTCAGGTGTTTAGGAATTACAGACGTTTTTCCTAGTCATCTTTATTCTAAGGAAAAAACCTCCAAGTTTTCACCAACAGAGACAGACCTTATTTAAATCATGGAACTTAGGACAACTTTGTAGAGACATGAAATCACTTGAGGTCTGTGGTAGGATAGCATTCAGTGTGTGACCTCAAATGAAGAAATACAGGATGAGGGGTTTCCAGTGCTTATTTAGAAGCTCTTATTAATGCAAAAGTGAGATGTGGACCATTTGGGAAAGGTAACAAACCTCTTCTGTTTTTCAGACATTCTAAATCATATTTTAAGTAATTACACGATTTACAGTGATGATGAATCACCATCTATCTTTGACAAGCCTGGCGGACACAAAGGAAAGTTCCTCAACTTTAGCAGGTAAATGTTTGTGCCTTTTATGTTCAAGTTTTTAAGATGACTGAGTCTTTAAACAGCTTTAGTGTGAGGGGTGGTAGATAAAGCAGTAAAATGTGGGGGGGTGTGATCAATATTTGCAAGAAGTATGCAAGAAGATCCAGCTGGGTACTCATGTTCTAATGAAGTGTTCTGCCATAACCCATTAAACTGGAACAGCCCAACCCTCTTTTTCAAAGTCAGAGTGGTCCACAGACTATTAGAATGTGTGGATGTAATCCACAATATTCCTTGAAAGACTCAAGAACAAAGAAATGTATTGTCTGTCCTTTGAAGGAGAGAACCTTTGTGGGTTTCTGTAGCCATCTTTGCCTTCCAGGTTTGTTTAACCAGGAGTGAGTTGTGTAGCAGAAACAAAACTGAGGCACAGATTGTTAAAATACTGTGAGAAAAACTTAAACCACATCCGCCTTTTGTACCTTTAACCTAATTACGCTTTATCATGTGACATTTTAAGCACGAAAACAAAGTAACAGCCACAGGGCTGCTCACTGCCTGTGTTCACAGTTTGGTGGTTGCAGCCCCTCCTTCTTCCTCAGGAAGGAGGATTCCTTACAGTCCTTCCCAGCTTCCCCATGGGGTCCCTCCCATGGGAGAGAGTCCTCCAGAAACCTCTCCTTCATGAGTCTTTCCCATGAGGTCTGGAGCTGCTCCAGCCTGGGCTTCCCACAGAGTCACGGGCTGCTTCAGGAGCAGATACCTCCCCCGGTGCTGGGGTCTTTGAAAGCTGTGTAATCAAGAGTCCATTGGCAGCAAATCTGAGTTCTCTGACAGCATAATCCAAGTCCACTGGCCAAGTTCACCCCTCCTGGTGCTTTTAAGGAATGTTCCACCACGTTCCTCCATGAATGCAGGGGCACAGCTGCCATCTTGCCATGGGCTGCAGGGAAACTTCTGCTAGGGCACAATCTTCCCCTTCTTCCTCACCAACCCCCTGGGATCCTCACCCCAGCACTGCCTTTCACCTCTCCAGCTCAGCTTTTCTTTCTTCTCAGGTCTTAAATAATTTACTTCATATGTTAATTGCTGAGTTGTCTCTCTGATGGCTCCTTGGCTGGTTTTGGAGCTGGGGGAGCTTCTCAGCTTTTTCCTGGAGCCACCCCTGGGGCCCTTCCCCTGCAACCAAAAATCCCACCAAACCAACCAGCACAAGTGCCTGTTGTAGTTTTTCCGGAAATCTTGCTCTGCTCCTTCCTTCCCACTGTCTCCACTAACTGGCCAAATTTCAACTAAACTTGACTCATTACAGTTACTTAAACTCAAGACCTACAGAAAATTGGTGTCTACGGGCAGTGGGGAGATCTAGATTGGTGTGTACTGAGAGAGTTATTTTCTCCCGGATCAGATTGCCGACCAGTTGTCGTGTGTGTTTAGCTGTACAGTCCCTCTGTGTAATTTAAGAGCTGTTACATAACCCAGCCAAACAAACAGCAGATATGCTGGGGATTGGCAGGATTTCTTAGGGGAGGGGTGATACAAGTCTGTAAGAAAATGGGCTTTGAGTCTTTATTGATCACAGATCAGCTTCTTATTTGCTGTCATGGGGAGAGTATTTACCATAAACAAACAAACCAACAAAACTTTAACATCTGTGTGCCTGTTCATATTTTTAAATTTGTTTTCTTGGTATTATTCTAGAAATGCTTATTACCAGCCAACATCTTGCAGGCCACGGTTCCTACTAGTTGGAGAACCAGGATACGGGCAGGCTTCTCATTTGGCACCTGCAGTCATACATGCCCTGGAAAAGTTTCCAGTTTATACACTAGACCTACCTGTTTTGTTTACAAGTATCACATCACCAGAAGAAACATGTGCACAGGTATCTTTTTTCTTTTTACCGTCACAGAATTCATGAACTGTATTTAAATCAGTAAGCAAAATTAATTGCTAATGGAGGTGGCCCACTTTGAATGTGCTGTTATGTCAACTTGTGTATGAAAATCCACTTTTCTTCTAGATGGCATGATACTGAATAAAGATGTTATACATGGGCATATTTTCCATCCCGAATTAAACAGTGAGGATGTTGCCAGCAGCTTGGGAAGGTGGGAGGTGCTGCTAATATACTCCTTTATGACAGGAAATCCTGCCAGTCTCAGTGGGATCCAGACACTTGTTTTCTTTGCTTCTTAATGAGTCTGTGCCCCCAGTGGATGACTCTGCCTCAGCCTGACTGCGTGTCGTGCACTTCTAGTAGCCTTCTTTTCGATTCTATTTGTAAGGCAATCAAAGTTTTGGGGAAAAGTATTTCTTTTTTACACAAGCATAAACAACTTCAACTGCTGCCATGTATGTAGTAAAAGTATTCCAGTTCTTGGGATGCTTACATTTATACACTAGAGTGTTTTTCTCAACTATGAAAATTAAGTACAAGCTGGTTCAGTGCTGTTTTCCTTTTTACCTTTAGGTGGGAAATGCATTTTGTGGTTTGGCATCGCTGTTGTGAAATACTTTGACCTTTAGTAGCAACATTTGAGAGCTGTGCAAGTAAGGACAGATACATGGCATGAGTGGATCCTCACTTGTCACATCAGAGGAACAATTCCTTTTTTTGTTGTGTGATGGTTAATCTGCAGTCATTCAACTACCATGCTTAGTCACTGCCTGGAAATAGGACGTGCACTTCCCATCTTGTGTCAGGAATTCCCTGAATATTTCTAATGCAAAAAGAGGGTACATGTCCTCTTCTTCAGTGAGGTTCCATCTGTAGGCAATGGCTTGCTGTCTTCCAAAGCACGTAGTCTGGTCTGATGGATCCTTTGGTAAGGAGAGGCTGTGAGTGACGTGGCTGTTCAGGCAGGTGGAAGACTGGTCACCTCTTCTGAAATGCACTTCAAATGATAAATGGTAACCAGGCTTCCTCTACATTGTCAGCCAAAATTATAAATGGTAACCAAGATTCTTCTACAGTCTCAGCCCTCATCTTTTCCTCATTGTTCAGACTGTGCCTCAGAGCGACGTGGATATGTGCCACCTCTGAAGGGAAAATGGTGTAGTCACAGTCGTGTAGGCATTTACCCAAACTAACACATCTTGCTGAAGGGTTAGGCTTGTTTTTTCAGGCCCACCACTGCACTGACTGAGTTGGCTCTTCAGTTGTCTTACACCTAAGTAGTTTTGAAATAAGACAGATTCAGGCCTGTTTCTGTCCACTAAACAATGTTTGTAATTGAGTCAAAGTGAACATTTTACCTGTATTATTAAGTAGTTGTTCTTTTGTTGGTCTTTGAATGTTTTGGCTTGAAGTGCTCCTCTGTCAGAAGATAAGTTTGACTGATACATACATAGTTACTGATGAGCCTTACTCTCCATGCTTCAGTTTTCTTATCCAAGCTGTCATTTTTCCAGATGATAAGAGAAGCTCAAAGAACAGCACCAAGTATAATTTATGTCCCACATATTCATTCATGGTGGGAGGCTGCTGGAGCTACATTGAAAACTACTTTTACAGCACTACTGCAGAACATTCCAACGTTTGCTCCAGTTTTGCTGCTTGCAACATCTGATGTGTGTTACACAGCTCTCCCAAAAGAGGTATTTCTGTTGATGCTTCTGCTTTTTATTCAGTTTCTCCTGAACTCATAAATCCTTTTCAGTGTTGGGAGTAGTGTGCACTGCTCAGCAAATTTCAGTCTCTTGTTACTCAGGCATCCTAACGAGGTCTCTTAAAATTTGCTGAGACAAAACAATGCTGAAAGCATTAGTTTAAAGTGTCTTCTGAGTAAAGAGACTGACTTTGACCAAACTTGATTTCCCCTCTCACACACTTATGCTTGTTGGACAGATGTATAAATTGCCTTTGACAAAATTCTAGTGACTTCAAGATGGTCAGCTGTGTACTTAGTCTAGAAATGCAACTGGGAAAAAGATCTTTATACAGAAGATATTTTAACAGAAAAGTGGAAGATACTTTTACCAGAAAAGGACAATGGTCACACTGTGAAGGATGGGATGTCATTTCAAATTTAAATTCCTTCATGAAAATTTCAGTTTCTTTCTTCTTGTTGGTGAAAACTTTACAAGTAAGAAAGCAGAGTTCCAACTTCTGTTTAAGTAACTTGGAAATCAATGTTTAGTTGTATTAATGCAGTAATTAACCAAATGCAGTAAGTGTACATGCTTAGCCTTCTAGACATTTGAGAGTGGGCATTAAAGGAAGGTGTTCCAAATGTGAACATACTACTCTGGTTATTTTGTCTCAGTTACTGGGGAGTGTGTGTGTGTGGAAGGGGTGTTTATCATCAAATGCTTTGAAAGGACTGAACTTTCGACAGCAGTTTTTATACTGCTAATAAATTCCTTCTAAAGTAAGTATTGAAATTACTTCCATAGCTTTTGGTAGTAGAATTGGAAAACAGAGTAAAACTTGGAAGTATGCAAACTCAGGTGCATAATTCACATTAAAAAAAAAACAAACAAACAACAAGCACAAAACACTTGACCAAAAAGCCTGCACTTGTCTCCTGACAGTGCCTGTTCCCTCCACAGCTGCCATAAGGTTTCCAACTGAAGGGACAGCAAGGCACGTAAATACAAAATAAGCAACCTCAGAGGTGGTGAATGTCACAACTGTATCAGTGTATTGTCTGGTCCCCTCACTGAGCTCTAACTATAGGTATTCCTTAAAGAAAATATTTTAATTTGCTCTGCTAATATATGAAAATCTAGCCTTCTAAGGCCAAGAAGATAACTTTTCACAGTTTGTCTTACCCAGATGATGATTCAGTTTAATTTAGAAACATTTTGGGAATAGATTATGAATTTGTGTGGCCTTGTATCTGAAATATCTTTTTTCCTCGTGCTCTAGATAAAAACATTGTTCAACAGTGATTATGAAGAAGTTTTCAAAATCCAGTTGCCTAGTAAGGATGAAAGAAGAACATTTTTTGAGGACATAATCATAAATCAAGCTGCTAAACCTCCTCCATCCAAAAACAACACAGGTGAGGATATTCTCCATGTAAGACTTCTCTTAACTGGAAGTTCAAAGCTACGCCGTGTTTGTTTTGGTGGTCATTTTCCATCAACAAGTTGTCATATGCTTGTATCTGAGCACCATGTGTTGACTAAAAGTTTCTGATTAATGTCAGCTTGGCAGCCACTGGAAGTTCTGCCTGTAGCACCACCGCCCAAGCCTCGGCAGCTGACAGAGGCAGAAGAAAGACAGCTGGAGGAGCAGGAGGAGGACACGCTGCGTGAGCTCAGGATTTTCTTAAGGGATGTGACCCACAGACTTGCCATTGACAGACGTTTCAGAGCATTTACAAAGCCTGTCGACCCAGAGGAGGTAAATCAGCATTGAACTGTCATACCCTTTAATCTGTGGGTATCCATAATTTCTCTCTATGTATTTCTCTGTGTTTGTATGCTCTTTCATAGGAAGATTTCCCTTTAGTTTTAGGACCATGCTATTCTGAGTTTTCAAGAAACAGGAGGTGAATTTTGCTTTTGCAGTTGCTGACTCCTTGAGGTTCTGTTATTTGAGTATTCGGTGAGGGCCCAGAATTCCTTCTAAAACGTCTTTAGAACTTTTCAGTTGGAAGGGACCTCCAACGATCATGTAGCCCAACTGCCAGTTGGACCAACTGCCAACTCAATTTTCTTATTAAATCCTTTGATACTTGTCACCAGCCAGTGCCAGGGGGGATATCAGCTCGTGACAGTCCGGTGTCAGAAGTGGGATGAGGTTTAGGGAAAATATAAAAATGGCACATGGCTACCAGGGATGTATCAGAGAAGTAATGTTTCCTTTAGGGAGGTAATGCAAAAAGTACTGTGCTCCTAAGGTGTTCTCTCTGAGAGAGGGTTGTGGATCAAAGGAGTGGGAGGGAGGAGTTGAGCCCGGCAGGACAGTTACAGAGTGTGTGTGTGCACTTACCCTTCCGTAGCTGTGGCTCCTGGGATGTGGCTTCTTTGCCAGCTGGCAGGGCTTGGCAGCAGGTCCATAGGGGCAGCTTCCCGGTACCAGGGACGACCCCCTAGCAGCAACAGCAGCAGCAGGTGGGCAGACACGGCAGGCTCCATTCCTGGGGCAGAGCAGCAGGCAGCCCTGGCAGGCAGCTACGGCAGGGTCCTGAAATCCGTGTTTTGGGGGTGCAGCCCCTCCTGGCTTGGCAGCAGCAGCAGCAGCCGTTTGGTTTCCTCGGCAACCGGCAGCAAAATGGGGGGGCGGGGCGGGGCTCCAGCGGGAAGGACCCGGTGCTCCAGGGGTCAGAACCCAGCATGCAGGGTCAGAATCCTGGCACGCTCACCGTTGTGGCTCAGGCTCATTCCCTGGGCAGGCAGGCAGAGCGCCAGCATCAGGCTCCGCAGCAGGGGGTGTCCCACAGAAGAAGTGCCCGAGCAGCCTCGGTCCCACCTACTGAATTCACTGCCTTTTTATGCCCCGGTGACCCACCTGTCCAGCCAGTGTCACTGTCCAGAGCCCATTGGCATCCGTGAGCCCCAAGTTAGGGTGGTAATTAGCAGGGGCAATGCATAAATGTGTTGCCCATCCTGCCTTGTACCATACCTGTTGTTTTGCTTCCGTTTGTCCTTGAGCAGCAGGCCTGGTTTTGGTCTGATAGCTGCATATAATCAGCAAAAGGCCTTTGCTGGCTTAAAAGGCATTTTGCTTAGACTTACATGGGGAAGAAGAACCATTTCCCACAATAACTTAAGCATGTTACAGCACTGGAAGGCAAAGAGATCTCTTTCTTTATAATTATAAACAGGATCTATATGACTGTTTTTAAAAAGTCTAAAGCTCTCTTAACTGTCTGTGAGGAGTGGAAACAGCAGTTTTAAAAATAAATGTTGAGATACTATTCTTTGTTTCATCTGGGGTTCCTCAGTCTACAAACAATCATAAGGGCTGTGTGGTTTCTTCTTCCTCCCATATACTCTTTTTATGTCTCTCTCATTTCATGTATTGAAGAAGTCCAAGCCTGGGGCATATACTTCAAAGTCAGCTGTAGTTTTAACACAGCTTTGCATTTCAGCAAAGTCCTGTTCCCCTCCCCTAAGCATCCACTGAGTTGTCTTTCCCTTGCCTTGTAGTTTCTTAGATGTGAATAATCTAAAACAGAGATGCCCTCCTCTAAACTAGTCATTAGACTCCTCCTATGGTCTGAGTAAAGATATTTGCACCTCTGGGTCCAGTTCTGTCCTTCTAAAGTAGGTGTCTAGGACAACTATTTCAGAGGTGCAATTCCTGCAGCCTTTTTCATGCTGCCAACAACAAGGAGAATCTTGGGTGGCTTTACTGAGAAAGATTTCTTGGCTGTGATTATCTAAAGTGAAGTGAAACAAAGCCCACTGTGGGTGTCTGTTCCCTTCTCTACCCCACACATGCTTCTGATGTCCCTGCCTTGTTTCCCCTCTTCTGGTCTGCATCTTCAAAGCCATTTGAAACAGCCTTTCTATTTTCAAGAAACTGGTTAATTTCTGCAACTTTAGATACATTCTAAATATTCAGAGGGTTTCAGAAGTCCTTGATTTTACTTTATTAAAAGAGCTAATTTTTGTAGATACTGTGTTAACTCTCTGAGCACATCTGTTTCATTTGTAGGTACCTGATTATGACACAGTTATTAAACAGCCCATGGACCTCTCAACAGTTCTTTCCAAGATAGACTTGCACCAGTACCTAACAGCAGGAGATTTTCTAAAGGACATCGATCTCATCTGTAGTAATGCTTTAGAGTACAACCCAGATAAAGATCCTGGAGGTGAGGAGAGGTTTTTATCTCTAATTTGAAAAAATTTAAACTGTATAAACTGATAAATGTCATCTGTAGACAGTAGACTTGGGAGTAGATAATTTTACACGTTCACAGAGAGCTTTTCTTACCAGGTAAATGTTGTAGCATTAAACTACTTGGGCATGAAATTGTAACAGAAGTGTTGATGAGTAACTAGTGCTTTTGCTTTAATAATTAACTTTTACGTTGTTACACTGAAAATATGCACTGAGATAACCTATCAGAACCAACCTATGAGAAGAGCAAAATCTTTCTAAGTAATTAAAATCAAAGATTTCATTGGGTAGTAGAAAACACACGGTTCTGACTGTAAAATTTCAGATCGTCTCATTAGGCACAGAGCTTGTAATTTGAGAGATACTGCATATGCCATCGTCAGGGAAGAAATAGATGAAGATTTTGAACAACTCTGTGAAGAAATTAAGGAATCTCGTAGGAAAAGAGGTACGTTTTTTGACACGAAGGATTTTAAGACTTGTCTAAGTATTTGTAAGTAACAATACAAGACAATTCTTTTCTCTCTGTTTTTTATTGCAAGGTTGTACCTCTTCAAAGTATGCTCCATCTTACTACCATGTGATGCCAAAGCAGAACTCTGTTCCTGTCAGTAAGAAGACAGACCCAAAGTGTGATGAAATCACGAAGATGGCAGCGGCGCCGGTGGATTCCAGCACTCCCCACTGCCATGGCAAGTTGCATTTTATTTAGACTTTCTTGGAGAACGTGCTAAAGTCACGGATAACTTCTTTGTGATGCCTGGTTTCTTCATCCCAGAGACATTACATCTTCTATTGTAATGTCTCTGATGCCTGGTTTCTTCATCCCAGAGACGTTACGTCTTTTAATTTGCTTCAAAATGTGAGATAGAGCTGGAGGTCATTCATTCAATATGGTTGGTTTACAACCAACAGTGGTTGGTTTACATTTTAAGACACTGGCCTTGATGGCCCAAGTGACATTTAATGGCTCCTAAATTACAGAATCACAGAATTGTCACTGTTGGAAAAGACCTCTGAGATCACCATATGAAACTGTCAACCCCACCCCCCAAAAAAAAAGAAGAGGAAAAATCAAGCCTACTAGAGCATGTCCTGAAGTGCCTCATCTACATGGTTTTTAAATACCTGCAGGAATGGTGACTCTACCACCTCCCTGGCAGCCCATTTCAGCACCTGACTACTCTGTCAGTAAAGAAATTCTTCCTAGTATCTAGTCTAAACCTCCCCTGCCTTAATTTCAGGCTGTTCCCTCTGGTCTTACCATTATTCACTTGAAAGAAGGGGCCAACAACCACCTTCCTACAACTTCCTTTCAGATAGTTGTAGAGATCAGTGGGATCTCCCTTCAGCCTCATCCAGACAAAAGAATCCAAATTTCCTCAGTCTGTCCTCATAGGACTTGTTCTCCAGCCCCTTCACCAGCTTGGTTGCCCTTCTGAACTCACGCAGTGTATTTCTTGTAGCAAGGCACCCAGTTGTAACCTTGCAAAGTCCAAAACGTTGTGCATAGCAGTTTCTGAATACTCAACTAGTTTTTAGTTACATGAAACAGTATTTTTCCCTACCCTGCCTTCCAGTGCTAAAGTCTCTTATTGTGATTACCAGTTGATGTGGGAAAGGGGAAAAAATACGGAGCAATAATAGAAATATTAATATTTCCTCACTTTTCCTGTGAAAAGGGCATGAAAGAACACAGGAACTTGGGTCTCTTTCAGCTAAAATGCATGACATAGTGTGAAGTTTCCTGGTCTCACTGGCATGACTGGGAATTTTGCCACTGAGTTCACCCATTGTGCTTTGCAGTATTCTGTGGATACAAAGAATGGTGGGGTTTCTGGAAGGCAAAAATGCAAAGTTTGTTTGACACAAGATTAACTGAATCAGAAAGTATATTAGGTGTAAGTCTTGGTGGACAAGTTTTTCTCCAGCAAATATTTTCCCACAATTGTCTCTTTAGCTTTGTCCAATATGTGCTTAGCTTTTGAAGTTTACAGCTTTAGAAAAGATTTAAAGAAAGGCTCATCTCCAAAAGCTTTTCTGTGGTTCATCTCTATCAGGTCATGTAATAAGACAGGAAATAACTTCACCTAATAACCTTGATTTGCAGTAATGCTTCCTATCTAAAGTAAGAATTTTCTGATCATAACATTGTGAAGCTGATGGGTTTGAGAGTGAAATTCTGTACCTGGCTTTCTAAAATCTGGTAAGAAATTTACCTCGTTAAATTGCAAGTCTTTCTCTAGACGTGTAAGGAGCCAGACAATGGTACTTGAGCTCCTTTGATCACCTTTCTTGAATATGCTGGATTTTGAAGGAAGGACGGTTTGATAATGTTTTGGGTTCCTTTTTCTGATCTCTCTTTCTAGATATGTCAAAAAGAAGACGTAAAAAGAAGGAAAGGTCTTCAAGTATCACAAGGAAGAGGATGAAGTTTCAGTTCAATAAAGAGAATAAAGTTCCAGAAGACCAAAATGAAGAAGAAAGTGATGAAGAGTCTACAGAAAAACATGTTTCTAACACGGATCGCACGGAAGTTGAGTCCGCACAGGATTCTTCTGTGGAGGAAAATGAAAACGTACTTCAAGAACGACAGAAAAATGGGAATAGAAATAAATCTGGGACAGAAAATGAGAGACTCCTCCTTCTGGCTAAATCTGCTTTTGAAAAGAAGAGTGTTGATGTTCTTGAACAAATGCCAGAAGCAGAAAATTCTAAAGACAGAAATTCAAATGGTAAGTGAAAGGTCGAACAGGTCATGTAGCTCCTCCATCTGAGGAGGAGGATTTACACTATTTATTAGGTTTAAGCCTTCTATAATCCCATTCCATTATTTCTGGTTTATGTCTTTAAAATCAGCATGCAGTGTTTCTTGCAGAACGATGCTGCCCCCCTAGCTATTCTTGCCCAACTCCAGTTTTCCTGCAGCTGCTGGTTTTTTCATTCTAACAGAAACAATCATTGCCTTTCTGTTACTCTCTGAGTATCTTCCCCATAATGAGCAGTCAAAGTTCAAAAGCTGTACTTGAAGAAGTGTGGACGCAGAGCCACATCTGGAATAGGAGACTTAGGTCCTCCTGTTTGCAATGTAAGACATTTCCTAACCTAAGTTACTTTGGAGTTACACTTTACAGTGTTGTAATGGCAATGGGACTCTATTTGTTTCCTGTTTTTTGCATGCCATCTTCTCTCATGCTTTTTTTGTGTATCTTGAGTTTTCTCTGAGCAGTGACTTTTGCCAGAATGGAAGCATCAGGGATTTCTCAGTGAAAAGATGGTAACAGTTCTGTCTCTGTCATTACAGAGAGAAGCTGTATTCCAGGGACAGGATAATTCACTTATACTGTATTCCAGATGAACAGAAACCCTGACTTAAGGAATTTGTGTTGTTCCAGGTTTGTGGGTACACCGAATGACTCGTGCAAAACATTCTCAGATAGAAGAGCATCGGGTGGGATGTGTTGAGAAGGCAACAGAAACTGTCACACAGTCAGTGGTTGTGGATCACTGCGAACTCAAAGTAAGTCTGAGTTTGGTTTTGTTCATACTGAAGTAGGACATTTTCTTGCTACATCTGCAGTTGCAAATTAAGTTAACCAATGCCAATTAAAACAATTTATGGGAAGGACGTGTAGCTCGTGAAAGAACTCAGCTGGTAAGGGACTTCAACTGTTGTGTTTCCACCTCTGTTGCAGACTGCTGTTCTGGCTTTTGGTGAACTAAATGGTTCAGCTAATGAGTAAAGGGAAGCACCTAAGCATGCTTCTATTGCCAGCTGGCACAGCTGTATCTAGATCTGTAGCCCGGTTTCCAAAGATCCATTTTATGGTGCCCTGCATGTCAGCCACAGTTTCTCTCGTGAAATGCAACGGGGCCTTTGCTGTGGCAGCTGCTCTGCCACAACATTCCCTGCTGTTTTGGAAGCAGCTGATTCACTATTACTATTGTTGATGGGACAGACTGATTAGAAATAAAATATTTTCTGAAACTTAAGCCTTTCTTTTCTCTGAAGTATGAAAAATTAAATAATTTTCTCCAGTTAATTTTGGTGAGATACTTAATCTGTTCTCTGACATGTCACTCAGATCAGAAAGCAGGCTGTCACTTGTTACTGTTTAGCTTCTGAGAACAGAAGAAGCTGATGCAGAGGATCTTGTGCTGCTCTAAACTTGTAGTTTCCATTTTGTTTTTCTTCAGCAACTGTTGCACTCTGTCACCCTGATAACAAAGAACTTTAATATATTTCACCTGGAAAAACTACATGCTGTTCTCAGTCAGTGCATTTACCAGCATCGGGAAGATTACGACAAAACCGAATTAGTGAAGGTAAATTTGTCTCCCAACACTTTGTCACTGTCACGCATGTTTGTGTCACACACGTGGATGTGTGTGCTCTGGGCATCACAGTTACTTAGCCTTACTCTTTACTGCTTGGTTGCCTGTGTTCGAAGACTCTTCCCTTTCAGTCTGGAAGACATTTCACCATCTTGCAAAATCATTATTGTATTTGGCATAATTGTTGGTAGTTTCAGTGGGAAAAGGTTTGAACTTGAAGAATGGGTCCACCTAAATAGCCCTCTCAAAGCAGGTAACCTCATTCTGTGTATAGTCCTGCAGAACCTGTTTAGGGGTGAGGGACTAAGAAAAGAGAGGGCTTTGCTCAGTCTGTCTCTTCCTCTTTCTCCCATTCCAAGCAGTCAGACATGGTAAGACTTCATGTAGTTGTCAGTCCTTTCCTGAAAACAAATTAAGTATGACACATAACACGACTCTGAGACCTGAGTCTCACCATAATCTCTCTTGTAACTGGCCTGGCTCAAGCATCTTTTATTTGGCCTAAGGGGAGATTTCTGCCTGTGCTGGTTTAATAATAATGAGCCATGTTCCCTGGTCTCCTGAGTTGTCAGAACTCAGTGGAAATCTTGCAGAAATGCCACTCAGGCATTTCCAGTGTGGAGTCCATGTAGGTAAGTTGCCCACAGAGGTGGTGGAGGCCCCATCCATGGAAACATTCAAGGTCAGGCTTCAGGAGGCTCTGAGCAACCTGATCTACTCAAAAAGGTCTCTGTGTATGGTGGGGCTGGACTAGATGACCTTTAAAGGCCCCTTCCAACCTCACATGTTCTGTGATTCTATGATTTCTTTGTTTTTTACTTCTGCCTTTAGCTTTAACAAAAAAATATCTCCACAGTGACTGTGGAGGTTGGTCAGGAGCAAGCTCTAATGTATGATGACACAGACTTGGAACGACTAATGATTCAGAGTGCAGAAAATAATATCTCCAGTATTTAGTTGTGGCTTTTCAGGAACCATCTCTTTCTGACTGCTGAAGCTACTGCTGTTCATACAGATCCAGTCTCTATTTTTGATGCATATGGATTTGCTTAAACCTAGTGGGTCTAGAGGGACATGGTGATGGTGGCAACACATGTAGTTGCTAAATATTACTGACACTTTTGTGTACATTCAGATTTTTTTTATTTTTATGAAGACATGAACAGGATTCTTAAGCTTTTATTCATGCTGATGTGCTTTTTTTTTCTTATTAGGAAATGAAGAAAGAAATTGGAGCCTTCAGTTCTTTTCAGTGATAATTGATTTCACCAGACTTCTACTCTACTGTTTTCTTTTCATTGCATGCATTTCACCTGCATAATTCTATAAAGATTAGTTCCACATATGTGTTGATATGTATATAGAACAAATATATCTTTAAAAATTAAGATAGCTCAAATAAAGTCTTTGCTTTTATTTGATATTTTTGTCCTCTATATTTTTATGTGGCATACTGCCGTGATCACCTTTGGAATGCTGCAGATCTGAGCATCTCCCAGATCATTTCAGTACATCTCCTTAAAGGAAAACAACTGAAAACTTGAGAAACTTTTATTATTGTTTTCCAGCTTGTGGAAATAACATTTTTCTGGAGTAGTCTGTGGTGCTGTATAGTCCCCTGCAGTATTACATAAAGGTTTCAAACCAAATCTCATTTTGGTATATGAAAAGTAAATCCTGTAGAAACCTTTTTATGCTGTTAAGAGATAATTATTTTTTAATTACCTATAGCACCTCAGACAGCTTTCATAGAATTAACAACCTCAATAGAGTATGTGGGAGAAAACACTCCACATAGCCATTTTGCTATGGCATATTTTTGCCTGTCAGAAAAACCTAACTTGAAACAAAGCAAGATTTTCTACTGTAACTTTCTAGGTTAAAGTTTGGTCTTGCTTGTAATAATGACAATTTTCTGGATACTAGAGAATAGCATTTCAATAGAAATTGTTTGTTGCAGGCCAGGTAGCTTGTAGTTGAGTAAATAGTTTTCTAGTTACCTGGAGAGAAGTATATGTTTATTACATAAAAATGAGTATATTATTGATGATAAATATATTTAAATATAAAAGCAAAGCAATATCCCATTTGAAGATGGATGCCTCTTCAACCAGCAGAGCACGTCTCTGTTAATTTGACTTAAAAAAAAAAATTATAAGATAGGCCAAGATAAATTTTATGAGAATAAAATTTTATATGATTTGCCATAAAACACGTGGCATGACACATTGCTGTTGTGTCATGTCACCTTGCATTCACAATGCCTGGTGGTCCTGAATGCCAAACTGTGCAATCACTCTATGTGTGTTTGGTTTCTTATCTATGTTTTCATTGTCTTTTTTGCTTTCTGTTGTGTTTGTCCAAACATTTGTGTACTATGCATATTTTTTTCTTTGATCTGTATTGTTTGGATGGGTATTAATAAAAATTGGTCACCTTTGTGGGGGGAGGGGGGTTTGTCTGCTCTGTTTTAATTACGGATTAATTTTTGTCATGAATAATCTAACACTTCAGAACCAGCATGAGTCTTTAAGACTTGGAGTAAGAACTGTATGTGAGCAGCTTCCCCCACTGCTCATGTATTGGTTACACAGCAAAGGCAAGCACAGGAGGAAGGAAAACGAGAGAATGTGTTTTGATGTTGTGTATTACTACATTGGAAATGTAATAAAGGAATTTGCTATTTTTCCTTAACTTGATCTCTGCCTCGGCTGCTGTCACCGATTTTCGATGGGGCTGTAGGGCTGGTTTGCTGAGCAGTTCCCCGGGAGAACTGTATGAAAAACTGCTCTGGAGCAACAGCGTGGGAATGAGGAACCAGGAACATCCCCGGCCTGCCTGGTCCAAGGGGAAAGCTCATGGAATCATTAAGATCGGAGGGGACCTTAAAGATCATCGAGTTCCAACTCCTCTGCCGTGAGCAGGGAGCCCTTTGGGAAGGGGTCTCCGCTCTCCAAGGTTTATAGCTCAACAGCAGCAACGAGGGAGGGTTTTTCTCCTCTCGGAGCCGTTACTTTTCCGCGCTGGAGCCCGCGGCCGGGCAGGTCCGAGCCCACGGGAAACCCGGGGCTGGCGAGGGAGAAAAAGCCTTCCCGGGGCTGGCGAGGGACGTGTCCTGGAGCCGCCCGGGTGCGCGGCGGGAGCGGCTGGCGCGGAGCCCGAGTTCCCGGCCGGGGGAGCGAGGCTGCTCTCCGGGAGCTCCTGCCC